TTTTTTTTTTTTTTTTTTTGTGGATTACATATTACATATTTACAACTTTAAGAATAGAAGTCATAGTCTTCATTAAAGGTATGTAAGAATAAGATGATTTATCTTTTACTGAAATGTTTTTTAAAAATTTTATGTGCTAATATTGAGTGATCATCTTTCATCGTTAGGTTGTAAGACTTTTGTCCAAATCAATGAGTATATGTCAAATGTATGATTTCGTGTGCAAGTGCTGCTTATGGTTTTATTTATGACATTTTTTAGGTTATATACAACTACTATGTTTTTGTAAATTTTATTTCACTAATTTTGTCATTTTCCTTTATTTACATAGTGTATAAAAGGTGAAGTGCTCCTCTGGATACATATAAATGGTGAAGTTTTGTCCTATCACATTGTTATGGAGCTTACAAAGGATAATATTTCTGACGGAGCATGACAAATTGGGTAGGCGGTCAAAAGTCGGTTGGCTATCTTCCAGCAACCATCTACCAGGCATGCCATGCACGAGCGCCTTCATGTATGATGCTGCTACAACAAGCATGATATTTAAAAAGGGGTTTATTGAGACGAAAGCTATAATGGTTGTTAGGTAGACGAATTGGATGACGTAATTTGAAAATAAGCTTCTTGATATTGGATGTTCATCCAGTGATGACTGATGACTGTTGCGTCACCTAATGAATAAAGCAAAAAGAATTGGCACGTATTAGGGAAAAAATGCTTTTTATAGAAATAAAACATAAATTGTACTATGTATTCAGTAAATATGAATTACTGTTGTGTAAATATTTTAGAGATTAGTATTCCCCCATTGTGAGGAGGCAATGTTCGACACCATTAAAGCCTCAAATAAACATAGATTTAAAATGAAATAGTTGGATCCATCTTTACTAGGCTGGTTTTCATTATAGTAGTGAACAATATATTTACTTAATGATCATGTGAATTTATGATTGATGTATTCCAAATTATTTTGTATATGGGTAAATGAAGACAGAGTAGGTTGGAATGTTCATATTTAATCATATGAGAAAGAATTTTTAGACAATGTCAACTTAACAAATATAATATATGTAAATAGCTGCAACAACCGCCCAAATATGAGTTGCAACAAATGAGCTGCAACAACTGTCAGAAAAACTGTGTAATGTGGTTTTTATGGTCCAAGATGATTTTTTTTAACAAGCAGTCTACGAATTGATAATGGACACTGGATTTCAATGCTTATTACAAGTGATAACAAATTTTCACTATATTTTTAGACTAAAAATGAGTCCGCCGTGTAGATTTAAACAACCTCGCAACTCATAAACCATTGACGAAATTCAGAAGAGCAAAATCTTAAAACATTTTCATAAAAAACAAAAAAGACACAATACATGTGAACAACTGCAACATACGCTAGAATAGAAGCTGCAACAACTTATGACAATTTTTCATTGTAGTTTTACACTGGGTGTTAGACCGTCGTGCGTGCACGACGTAAACGCATCTAGTATATATATATATATATGTGTGTGTGTGTGTGTGTGTGTGATTGTTCAGAAAATCTACAAACAAGAATCTACGTATCTACACATCAAGTTAAATAAAAATCTCCTTATTATAGGAGTATAAGTTATTTCAAATCATGTCAGATGAAAAACTTCATAACATAATACGAGTATAAACTATATATATACCAAATTAAATCGAGACTAACATAATACATAGTACAAACTATATGTCTGCCTAATTAAATCACGGGAAAAAATCACGGGGCATCCTCCGAACAATTTTACGATACGATATTTTCAAAATAATTACATTATCTTTTCACGCTCTCCTACACTAGAATATCGTGACCCAGTAAGACCACATTCTTATTGAAATATTACAAACAATGAGTAATAAAGATGATACCCTAGTCGGTGTAGTTTTTCGACACTCACTGAATTTACTCAAACACTCTATTTTTATCTCATTAAAAATAGCACTCACAAGAAATATTGTTCTTGTTCTCTTGCTCTCTCTTTTTCTTTCTTCTGCTTGGTGTGTTCTTCAGCACTTCAGATGCTACTATTTATAGAAGAGAAAGATGCTCCAAATTATCAAAGTTGGCAGCCTATTCCATAAAACATTTCTAGTCCACTTTTGGTGGTTGGACTCTACATTCACTTTTGTTGTTTTCTATGTTGGCTCATCATAATTCATATATGAGTGATATCTTATTATTATTATTATTAGTTTTCAACTTTGTCGCAAAATTTGTGTAAAGAGACATTAAATTAAGTATTTTATGATAATAGAAATTGAAAATCGAATTAAGTCACAAAAAAAATCAAATTTTTTGAATGCTGATGGTTTTTATAATTATCGCTTACGAGTAAAATTCATATTAGAGTTGAAAACGAGAAGAATCAAATTATCGAGTTGTAATCAAGAAATAATTGGTGTAAGTCAACAATGGGGTAAATTGCGCCAAACCCCCCTGTATTATACGAAATCTGCGTCTTATCCCCCTGTATTTTAAAAAATGCGTCATACCCCCTTGTATTATACTTTTGATTGCGCGTTATCCCCTAAACTCGTATAATACAAGGGGGTATGACGCATTTTTAGGGGATAACGCGCAATCAAAAGTATAATACAAGGGGGTATGACGCATTTTTTAAAATACAGGGGGATAAGACGCAGATTTCGTATAATACAGGGGGGTTTGACGCAATTTACCCGTCAACAATGGGAAATAATTTTTGGGGCTACTTTTGACCAAATAATAATAATAATAATAATAATAATAATAATAATAATAATAATAATAATAATAATAATAATAATAATAATAACACCTTACATGAAATTTTTAATATCTATAGGTCCATTTTCAACTAATTATACTAAATTTATATTTTAGACACATTTAATTTATAAAAACATTATCTTACAATAATATATGGTTTTTCATATTTTGTATCTCTTTTATTGTCTTGATGAGATGTTTAAATATAAATAATTAAATTTTAAATGAAGTTCTAAAAAATATTTAAGGTACATGCTTGTCCGTGCATCGCAAAGGAGGACGCGCATTTCAGCAAATAGCCAACAAAATCAGTGACACAGAAAAATAATAATAATAACAAAATAGGTGATAAAATTATATGTGTATCTACCCATGTTAAAGCAAACCCCACGTTTTCCGGCGCGCCCCCGCACCGCAACGAGCCCGAACCTTGTTGTGGCTTGTCGCAAAGGAACGCGTTCTGACCAACATTGAGCGTGTGAGGAGGCATATGGCAGCTTCATCGGGTTGCGAGCTTTGTGGGGAGACAGATACGATACTCCACGTTTTTCGGGACTGCCGGATTGCAAGGGAGACGTGGAGCAAGCTTCTTCCTGTAGCCGACAATGGAGGCTTTTTCCAGAAGAATATAGAGTCTTGGTTTCGCAGCAATTTGTTGAAGGTGCAGTGGGGACAGTTTGCAAAATGGAGCAGCATTTTGCAATCACCGTGTGGAGTTTGTGGAAATGGCTCAATGAGCGTGTGTTTCAAAATAAAACAATAGGTGCTCAGGCGCGGAGGTCGGAGGTGTTGAGATTATCGGAGAGCTACTCCCAGGCCATGGCAGATTACGGCAAAGCCGGAGATGTCATGCACGTTACCCGAATGATCCAGTGGATTCCGTCCAATCCGGGATGGATAAAAGTTAACAACGACAGGGACCATAATAGTACATCGGGGCTGAGCTGTGCGGGATGGCTCATCCGTGACGATAATGGTCAATAGGTTAAGGGGTTTCTTATGAACATTGGGACATGCACAATAATGGGAGCTGAGTTATGGGGATTTCTGGGCCTGCAAATGGCTCAGGAATTAGGCTTTCGTCAGGTTATTGTCGAGGTGAATAGCCAATGTGTGAAGAATATAGCCCTTAGGGACGCTGAACAGGTCGAGGCTCATATGACGATTGTAAGACTTACTTTATCCGTGACCCATTCCATGGGTCAAGGGAATAAAACAAAAAAAAAATGAAAAAGGTCATCAGGTTGCCGACCCAGGTCACAATGTGACCTCGGGTCGCGACCTGTATTGTGAGGAAAAATGAGACATTTGTCTTATTTTTATTGGATAAATGTATTTTTTTGGTTTCTAAAAAAAATAAAAAATATTAAAATTCATGTTTTTTTCATTCTCTACAAATAGAGACCACACTTGATATATTTTAGAACACATTTAAAATTTCTAAATAAATTAAAATAAAATAAATATGTAGGTTGAGTTAGGTTGGGAATAAAGATAAATAAGGTTGGAAGATTGAGTTATGTATGTGAAGGAGAGAGAAATAATTTTTAATTATTAGGTTGAGTTGGGTTGTAAATAAGGATGGTCTAAGGGTTATTCATAGCATCTTGCGGTATGATTGAAGCGTGAGAGTTCACCACGTACATAGTGAAGCGAACTTTGCAGCGGACTACATGGCAAGTGTGGCGGCATTGTCACCGCTTGGATTATATCGTGTGTTGGTTCCCTCTGCTGGACTAGGAGTCTGGCTCGATCATGATCTAATGGGGTATTCTACCCCCGTCGCGTACTAGCTTAACCACTCGAGTCCTTGGCATCCTTTGTACCAAAAAATAAAAAAATAAAAAAAAAAAAAATAAAATAAAAATAAAAAGAAAATCTTCATGAATCAAAACAACACTAGAATAAAAAAATCCGAGAGATTGATATGTTTTAAGAGAGAGATAATGAATAATGATGAACTGTCAATAGTCTCTCTCAACGACGTGGAGATGTATTTTTTTGTGTGTTCATGAGATTCGATCTATTTAAAGATTCGATCTATTCGCATCGATCCTTTCATCCTTTGCAACCTGTATCAAGAGAACAAACATATCAAGGTAAATTAATTATCTGTGACAGCAAACTCATGAGGCTCATTTGATCAATCTCATTATTCTCATAACTGAGTGTACACAAAAACACTGTGTTTCTATTTAACCATCCAATTACCATTTTATTAATCAAAATCATCGGTTAATTCCATATGTTCTTCATGTTGAGCAGCAGCCTGCCCCCACTTCTTCTTGTTTGTGGTCCGAGCTGCGGGGCAATCTGGGAAATTTACATAACACGTGGACAATATGCTAGTTTAGTATATGGTCTGAGACAAGGGAACTCAGGCATTCAGTTTGAATGAAAAAAAAAAAAAAAGACTTTTCTTCATGGAAATTACTATGTTCTCGTTTTAACCCCTGTTTTAAATAGCTCGTTATTGCTTTTTTTTTTTTTCAAAAAATGTGACGTAGTTTTATATATTTAGCGTTTTTTTTTTCGAAAAACTTACTTGAAATGCTGAAATAACACGTTTTTTTACACTATTTTGCGCTGTATTTCTACAAAGACATTTGAACAATAAAATATTCAAAAAACTTGTATTTTTTAGATATTAAAGTTATATATTTAAATGACAAAAGACTAAAAATTTTGATAATGATTTCAAATTAAAAGTTTGAAAATGCAAAATCGTAAGTTGAATAGTGCAATATATATCGGTCCATGTCTACTATATCATTATAGTTTTTTGGGCATTTGACATTTAAATTTAAGAATAAAAAGTTCGGTTAAAAATTAAATTAAAAAAAAAAAAAAACAAGATGAAAAAAAAAGAGCAAAAGCTGAGCCTGAAGAAGTTGGAATATATAGGAGAAATCTAGGAAGTTGGCATTACCTCCTTGAGGATATATTGAGTTGTAATGAACCTCTGCCCAGAAACTCAAGAAAATAACTGCGAAATAAATCGGAGCAATTTTTTTCAACACAACGGGTTGAGTATATAGGGAGAGTTAATTATATAGCTGGCCACGTATCATGTTCGACAAACAATGAGAAGGTTATCAGGAGAAAGTAAAGAGAAACAGAAAGAACCAGTTGTACCTCGTTCAGATTTTTGAACGTGTGGAAGAATCTCAATATAACAAGTATCCTTAAACGATGTTATGACGAATACTTTCATACCATACTGCACCAAGTAAAAAAAACGAGCATCAACTCCCATGAATCGCTTTATTGAAACAAGCACACGGAGACGAACATAAGCAATATTAGCTTAAAGGATCGAAACACAAAAACTAGCCATTTTTTTTTTTTTTTTTTTTTGATAATTGAAAAGATAAAATTAATGCGAGTGATGAAGAAAAATATTACACAATCTGCAGCAGCTTGCAGAGTGACATGATCTCCCCACTCTCCGTTCCTATATTCAATCCCATATGTTAGAAGCAAAATAATTAAAGAAAAAGAGGATGCATGAAAGTAAATGAGACTTTAGATAATGTAGTTGATGGATATACTTGGACATGTTCGACAGATAATGGTCGTAAGCCATGGGTACGTATCCCTCGTATATCTCTGGGTAAGACCTAAGCTAGAACTCCAAATTTATGGAAGATGAAGAATCAGTTTCGTGCAAAATCAAAGCTATACTATATAGAAATGAAAAAAATTGCAACAAGAGAAAACTTCAACCTGTTTCACAATCTGCTGACGGACGAATTTGTGATGCTCAGGAGTACGATAAAATTGGTCTGACAGAGCTCGAAACTGAAAAACGAGGATAAAAGAGAGAAAAAAATATGCAGTTAGTATGTTTCAGAACAACACTTTGGAATATGCTAAAACTGAGTATACAAATAAAATAATCGACCTGGCAGTTACCATCTCCGAGAACTTTGAATTCTACCAACTCATACATCTGTAATCTACAAAAGATGAAATTAAACAAGGTTCAAATTTGCGTTATTGCAGTAACTATACTATATATAATACTAGACACACTTGAGTTATATCAGATGTCAAATTATTTTTTGCTTCAAAAAATTTTACTTAATTGACAAAGATGTATCTATACAAACTAGGAACGAATCTGAGGACTACTAATAAAATTGCATTTATCTCCACGTACGAAACTTCCATTTCCCGGACAAATTATTAATTACCTGTCCCGAAGCCTTTGATAATCTAATGTTGCATCATCTATGGAGGGTATATCGCCATTAATTTTCGGAATATGCTGCATAAATGAGGCCGTGTTTGAAGAAAAATGAAAAACAAATTGGAAACTAAATGGTGTGAACTACAAAATCTCAAGAAAATAAACAAAACACACCTTTATTTAACTTCCCTCATTTCAGTTATCATTGAAAAGAAGAATGCACTAGTTAACCGAAAAATTGACAAGAAAGCTGCACTCACTGGAATTGGAACCATCTGGTTCAACCTTTTACCCACTTCGCCATTAAAAGCATACTCGTCCATTAAGTCAAGCAAATATGACCAATCCTCTTCAGGATACATTTCATCTCCCGGGCTCGAACATGAACCCGCAACCCCCAACTCATTTACTTCTTCATTCTCGTTCACATTCGCTAAAAGTCATGACGATCGAAAACTAATAGTTTAGAAACGAAATTCTCAAACCGACATTAAGTCTAATAGTCTAGTAAAAGGGCATACCATCGTCAATTTCATAAGTGTTGTTTCCCAACGACTGAGAAAACCAATCTTGAGGACAAAACGGGGTCGGTTGGCTTTCAACAGCCTCCTCCTGGAAGGATTTGATTGGCTCGACTACTGAAAGTCGAGACAGCTCCTCGTGAAGATTGTCTGCACTAAGATCATTTTGTAGTTGATAGTTGCTATCCATATTGTATTGGTATCCTTTTAGGTAGCGACCCGTATAGCAATCCGTATTGTGTTGCGGTATGGAGCACGAATAGCCGCAATTCAAATACGGGTCGCCTTCAAACAGCTGGAGCCCCCAGCGGAGGACATCAGGATCTTGCTCGTATGTAATCATGCCTAAGTCTCAAATTATTATTATCAGAATGGATGTTTAGATTCAAGAGTTCTACGAAACTATAGTAATATGAAAGTGAAATTTAACATCTCTGTCTCCTTAAAAAAGACGTACATAATTGGGCATAATTGTCAGACAAGAACACTTCCCCCAAACAGAATCCTAAAACGCAACCAGATCAATCGAAATCTAAAACACTACGAAATGCATCATCAAAATCCGAAAGACACACACATTCAAAAACAAGTCCCATCTTAAGATTAAAGTAAGAAATTGACCAAAGTACAATGCAGCAACGACGACGATGGACGTCATGCACTGCTCGCTTCTTATGAATGACACGAATCCTTAAATGGCACGAAAGAAAAATGAAAATGAAAAAAAAAAAAAATAGTGCAGCTTAGCAACTCACCAATGGCGGTTCAGCAAACTATGGAAGCCATGTTAAGATGCAATTACAGTCTCAGGGAATAATTGGGAGTAAACTATAATAATGGGATTGATTGGGGGGTGAAAGATAATTGTGCTGTGGGTGTGTCATGTGATGAGGTGAGTAGTACAGAGAGAGAGAGAGAGAGAGAGAGAGAGAGAGAGAGAGAGAGAGAGAGAGAGGACAACGAAAATGGAATCTCAGTTTTGGGGCCGTCGGTCTCAATTGATTTCCCACTGTGTCACAGAAAGCTGTTGTCAACACTGACGGCGATTCCTTTGCCTTTGTCTCTTGTCTCCTTTTTCATGGCTTTTTAAATTTACGTTGTTGTACGGCCATCATGTTTTTCTATTTATTTATTATTTTTTCAATAGCTTGGGTTTTTATAGCTATTCAAAATTTTGATAATCGGGACATTTGGTGTACGGTTTCGCACAGTGAAGCGCACCATAAGAGGGTGAGTTTAATTGTACATTAGTGATGTTCTATCCTAAAATTAATTTGTGATGGGAGGAATAACCGACTAGGTTTATGAACTAGACTTATTTACCATATCAAATCAACGTGAGAAGACTCACAATTCCAACAAACGTTAACTCAACTACACTATCATCAATAGTATCAATATAATTAAGTAATATCAATCAGTCATTCTTACACATAACATCAACTTTAATTTATTATTTATCCACTCTTATAATTTTAACTATCACTTCAAATCATTTATCTCATACTTTTATATAAAATCAACTTTAATAATTTTATTTTAAATATTATTTTAATATAAAATCAAAATCTCATTAACAACTAATCATACCAGATTTACATTTTTCAAAATCTCCTCTATATATAATTCTCGAATGCGCTGAGCCCACATGGCTGTTTTTGGTGCCTTAGAAAACTACTTGGCGAAGAATCATGCTTCGTAATTAGTTTTGGACAAATAATATTGATATATTAATATATAATAATCTAGGTTCCCACATTCCATAAATATTATTTAGCTAACTTAGCTATTTTAATATCATGTGTACTAATATAAGCCTTTAATTCTTTGTAATTTACATAATGCGCACTAAGTGATTAATATATCCCTGACTTTTGATTTGCTTCATTTAATTCTTTCTGAATTATCCATAAATATGTTGATTATTGATGATCATGTTTCATGTATTAATTGTATTTTAATATCATTTACTATTATAACCATTGATTTTTTTTTTTCCAACGATATAACAAACTCCAATAAAAAAGACCAAAAAAGGTCAATGTACAAGGGAAAAACCCCAATTCCTGACAATATTGAGAGGGCAGCACCGTAGCTCCCTAACCAAACTACCAGCACAATACAAGAACATAAAGAAGACACCCACACTGCTACAAAAGCTAGACAACAGCAAACCCAGATACAGCACAATCCCTACACCTGCAGAGACCTCAAAGAACACATACCAAAATAGAACTGAAAGAGAAATAAAGTACAGACAAGATAAATCACTGACACAAGACCTAATATATCTCATCTGCACCTCTATTAGCCATAGTTATTGTTGACTTTGAAGTCATGCCAGTCCCCAATAGCAACTTTGATAATCCAGCTTTCAGGTTGACATTCCTAAAAAAACCATAGATTTCTAGCACTCCGCAGCCACCATAAGATGTAAGTGGAGAGCTGGATTATATCCTCAACACAATCATCTGCAGCCATGGAACTCACCCACCACCACCACTGCTTGAAAGACTTATGCTCCTCCTGCACTCTATTCCATCTGACTGGAGAAAGCTTCCAAACTGTTCTGGCCTTACTACACAAGAAAAGACAGTGTTCTTGTGTTTCCTCTTCCTCCCCACAAACCTTGCAGATTCAATTTCCAGCCCTCTATCCTGCAAATTACAGCTAACTGGGAGAATATTAGAAAAGCACTGCCAAACAAAGAGCTTCACCTCTCCCATAACTTTCAAACTCCAGCATCTTTTTCTAGCTTTCTTGTTCCCACGAACCATGGCACTAGATTCAGCCATTGGCCTTTGCCCCAACTTGACAGACAAAAGGTTAGAATAGGCTCGTTTAACTGAGAACTTGCCCTTAGACAAGAAACCACACTGCCATTGATCAGTAGCTCTGGGGTTTAAGGATTTGATTAGAAGAATTTTCTCAACATCAGCCTCTGTGAATGGAGCTCTAATGAGATTTGTGTCCCACTGTACTCCACCTGCAAGCAACAAGTCCTTAACCAATTGGTGGTGCAAGGAATAACCGACTAGGCTTATAAACTAGACTCATTAACGTTAACTCAACTCCACTATCATCAATAGTATCAATATAATTAAGTAATATCAATCAGTCATTCTTACACATTACATCAACTTTAATTTATTATTTATCCACTCTTATAATTTTAACTATCACTTCAAATCATCTCTCTCATAATTTTATATAAAATCAACTTTAATTATTTCATTTTAAATATTATTTTAATATTAAATCAAAATCTCACTAACAATTAATCATATCATACTGACATTTTTCAAAATCTCCCCTATATATAATTGTCGAATGCGCTGAGCCTACGTGGCTTTTTTTTTGTGCTTCGGAATCCTGCTTGACGACGAATCATGCTTCGTAATTAGGTTTAGAAAAATAATATTGATATATTAATAATTAATAACCTAGGTTCGGACATTCCATAAATATTATTTGCTAACTTAGGTGTTTTAGTATCACTTGTACTAATATAACCTTTTAATTCTTTGTAATTTTACATAATGTGCACTAAGTGACTAATATATCATTGACTTTTGATTTGCTTTCTTTAATTCTTTCTGAATTATCCATAAATATGTTGATTATTTATGGTCATGTTGCATGTATTAATTGTATTTTAATATCATTTACTATTATAACTATTGATTTGTAAATGTATTTTAAAAATTAATAACTTTTGTATTTTTTATTAGTTTTACATATATAATATATGAAATTAATCATCTCTTGATGTGTTTCGATTTAACATTCGTATTGTATGTATAACATCAATTATATTAATCTTTATAACACTAATAAAATTGCTTTAAATATTAATTAGAAAAATAAAATTGTTTATCAATTAGTATATTTATATTTCAAGTAGTTACATAATATCAGTTATAAAAATTACTATAATATAACACACGTAAGTCGCACAAATAACAAATGTCATTCTAAACTATATAATAATATAGATTTTTCGTAAAAAAATAAATAAAATTTAAAATAATTTTTCTCATTATTTTTAAAATTTCAGAATAATGTTTTAACAAACACGGTGTAATACGGGTGTTGTATTAATTAACTCTATTTAACAAAACAAAACAAAACAAAATAAAAAAAAAAAACTCATTTTAAACTTATATATTTATAATTTTGTATACAAACACGCCCTATAATATTTCTCCATTTAAACACTTCTTTCACATTCATTAATACATCTATATATAATATATGTGGACCCGCTAAATATTCCTCTCTCACGTCATGTTCAATATTGATCTGTGGGACCCCATATCGGTGCATATTATATTGATTTTTATAAGCTTTTCACCTACACACAGTTCAACATCTTAACCCATGAAGTGTGTTGATATTTGTCGCCCCCTTTTTTATAGTTACCGCTCCTTAAAAGTCAATTTTGTCCTTTTTTAATTAAAAAAAATATTCATTATTCACTTTACACATTCTATCTTCTGGTTTCGGACTTTGAAAAATTCTGAAAAAAATTCCGACCTACTCCGGCGACGACGATGGCGTCGAACAAGGTATTTTTATTTTTTTTGCGGCTGGCCGGCTCAGGTCTAGCCGGCCACTAGTGTCGGCCGGCTCTTGGTCAACGTACTTTGACTCTGGTCGGCCGGTCCATTGGCCGTCGGTATCGAGGACCGACCAGACCTGAACCGGCCGACCGGCCTGCTCAATTTTTTTTAATATATATATATATATATTATATAATTATTATATATATATTATATATAATAATATACGAAAATAATAATTATGAAATATAATTATATATTTAAAAATATATATTCAAAATATAATTAAATATTTTAAAATATTAAAAATATAATTATT